ACAGCGCTTTGTCAACTACACTAGGGATGCCCTACAGGGCCTGGCAGAGCAACTGCAAGCCACTACCCAAATGACATTTCAGAACAGAATGGCCCTAGATATGATATTAGCTGAGAAAGAGGGTGTATGTAAAATCCTCCCTGAGACCATGACATGCTGCACATACATTCCAGACAACACTGGACCCAATGGTAAGGTGACTATGGCCATATAAAAGCTAGATAGTCTTGCAGACGAGCTAAAGAAAAATTCTGGAGTCACTGACACTTGGGACAGATGGTTTGGATGGATGAATGGTTGGCAAAGGACCCTCTTCCAGGTGGGGACAGCTGTTCTCATAATGATCGTCATTTTCTTATTTTTGACCTGTTGCATATTCTCCTGCATACAGAACTACTTACAGAAAGCGGTAGACAAGACTATAGATGGCGTGACCCCTACTTTCATACACCAAGACATCACAGACCTCGAAGATGACACTCCACATACACCCCTTCAATCACATCAGTTCAAACAAACAACTGCTTTCCTGTAGGGACAGTATAGGGAAAGCGTCTGTCTTGGCAGGCGAGTCTCACGTGTGGAGATGTGGTGGACTAGCCACCGCGGGTTACCCACGGAGTGAAGTGTTCGATGCTTGTTAAGACAGATGAGCTGCAGGCAGCTAGGGACATATTAGGGACAGTAGCAGTTGTTATGGTAAATAGCCATTTTAGGGGGGACTGTTGTGGAAATACACATATTTCCTAGTTAGTGAAAAATGTCTATTTACTCATTTCACGATATATACATATATAGCTAAGCACACACGTTATAATCAAGATGGCTGCTGGAAGCTTCTAGCTCCTTCCCCCTCCCCCTTCCTTTCTCCCTCCTAACATCGACTAACTACCTCGTGCACCAAGATGGCGCCGGGAAACCGTGGGAGATTCTCATGGCCCCGGTGACATCACCTACAGTAGGCAGAGCATTGAAGCAACCACTCAACACCTAACCAATTATTGATGTATTATTCCATGTTATCTCTGACAATGCTTATGATGTAATTTTGCTTTAAAAGGGACTTGCCGTCCCCTCTGAATAAACTTTCCTCAAGTTATTCAACAACCTAGAACCTGTGTCTGGTGTGAATTACTTCAGGGAGCGTGCACGCATTGTTTCATTGATTTGGCCAGGGGCAGATACACAAAGAAATAATCAATACTTTAATTGATTTTTCCACTTCAGTACCCCATATCTAGCAGGTCCTACTGTAAGAAATTGATATTCCAAACTGCAATATTGTATATAACTTTCTGTGTATGTGACTGGTTTCACAAGTTGGGGTCATTTACTTGATAAAAGTGTGATAAGGATCAAAGCTTTCAGTTGCATTTTACAACACCCAGCTAAAACAAAAGCTTACATCCCTCCAGTATTCCTTGCATGTTATCAGGAGATCAGAGTAACAGACATCTAGGTGTAACCATGGAAGTGTGTGTTTTCCCAAGCAGTCTAACCCACCCAGAAACCAACCCTAACTAGTCACTTCTTTCAGAACATTACAGTATAGCTGGAGGGAAGAGATCAAAGGGAAAGACTTGTGTAAAGACAGAACTCTCTGGAGAAAGAGGGCGGGATAAACCACTTTTGGGAGGGAAAAGGGATTCTGGGACTTGTAGTTTATTACTCCAAGAATCAGTCTTTAAAAGGACAACATCCAAGGAAGGCTCTCTCTTCTTTTCTCTCTCTCTTTGGAGAGGACAACGCAGCAAGCAGGGCCATGGTGAACTAAGAGAGGCTGTCCCAGATTACCCAAGATGAAGGCGCAAGGGGAAGACCTGCATTTAAATGTTTAAGTATTGCCCTTTTATTATGTAGCTTTTGATTATGTACCGGATATAATGTATAATGTATATTGTGTATATCCTTTTAAAATCTAACAGTATCCTTAAATGAATATTTACAATACATTTTATTATACACTTGTGTTTATGTCTTATTTGTCACACATTCCCTAAAAGAATATCCTTGTAAGAGGGTCATAATTTCTTACAAATTGGCGAGCCAGGTAGGAGGGATTTAGTGTGATTTATAAGCATATTCATAATTGTATAGATTGTATATTTACTTTTGGATACTGTTCAGATATTGTGTATAGATATTTCAGTGAATTGTGCGTTGTCAATGATGGAGAGTTTATTGAAAAAGATTGCTAAGGTGTCTAATCCAGAAGCAATAATTAAATGTATGGATGGTGCATTAGATCCGTGGCTTAATGCTCAGGATTATGTGGCCAGGGCAATTATTGAAAAGAAATTGTCAAAATCTAGTGGTAAAATTGCTTTGATTTATGCTGCCCGTTGGATTGCGGAGAAGTATAAATCTTTAAATAGGCAAAAAGAGAAATTAGAGGCAGACATTTTGAGTTTAAAGAATGAAGTGGAAGGTTTTAAACTGTCTGCGCAAAATGCTGCTGCTTTGTGTGTAGGTAGTCAGCAAATGCGTCTTGAAAATGAGGAATTGCACAGTTGTAATGAGCAGCTTGTAGAAAGGCTGAAGGATGCAGAGGGTGCTATTAGAATCCTTGCTTCCAGCAGCCAGAAAGAGGCTGATCATTCTGTGTGCCTTAAAGAAATTGATGATTTAAAATGTAAACTAACAAAAAGAAATGGTTTTGCTGCTACTAAATATGGGCTGAAAACCAATTGTGGAGGTTTGTGTACAACAAAGATGGAGGTGTTTCATAATAATTATAGTAATTGTGAGTGCAGTATTCCTGCTAAAATGGCACCAGTCTCTACAGAGCACATGGTGGATGCACAGGGAAATTTACTACATAAAACTACTGTGACCCATTCCTTAAAACGTACAGAGGTTATTGCACTGAGCAAAGAACTGGGATGTATACGCTTGGATGATGATCCAGTAGATGTTATGTTAAAAATTGATCAATTTGAAAAAATCCACAGGAACCTAAATGAATTGGATATTTTTGATGTTATAATTGCTAGTACAGACCAGTCACTAAGAGTAAGTCTGCCACATGAGATATTTATAGAACCTAGAACCAAGCAACAACTTATCAAAGAGTTATTAAACGCACTTGGTCTAGAGGAAGTAAATCATCATTTTGCTTTTGGTAATTGTGCTCAGAAGAGAGGGGAGTCTGTTTTAAGGGTTTGTAAATAGGTTATTCGTTTTATTCAAACTGACTGTTCCACCTGGAGCACATGCTGATCACAATGAATATGCATATAAGAAAGCACACTGCCAGATATTCAAGAGTTAATTGGTTTAACTATGTCCCCACAGGACACCTTTGTAAATATACTGAATTGCTTAAAAAGGGCTGAAGCAATTTTACTAAATCAAGAAAAAGTAAATAAAAGACAAGTGTCATTGATACAAAGTCCCCAACCTCACAGATATATCAATCAGAGAAAGTCCCCACATATAAAATCCATTACATGTTTTAGGTGTGGTAGGATGGGACATATTGAAAAATTTTGTAAATCAGATGTGCATATTCATCATGAAAGGCCCATGTGTGATAGATGGACTCTGGGAAATAAAAATAATCACCCTAGGTGGAGATCCCAGAGAAAAGATAATAATGGTATCCCCCACACAGGACCTTGGATTCCCTACCATGTGCTTAAAGCACAGAATAGACAACTAAAGGCAGAAAATCTTTCACTAACATGTGAACGAAATGAGTTCCTTGAAAAACTGGATTGTCTCAAGGCACAATTAAGTACATTAGAGGAGATGGTTAACACAAAGAATCTGATAACAGATACAGTTTTTCTTGAATGACCTATTCTAGTTGTGTGGTATTAACTTTCTCTTGAAGTTTGTTTTTTTAGAAAACTACGGAGATGATGCCAATTGAGAAGGAAGACAAATATAGACCTGTGAGAAGACCAACAATTTAACATGTTTATTTATTTCAGGAAAGTACAGTTCCAGTTTATAGAGGACCTTAATATGTAGTTTTATATTATTTTTTTCATATTAAGGATAAGCCTCTAAACTCATTAATTACAGTCAGGTGGTCCAAATTCCAAATTATTTTTGTTTTTATTAGTTTAGCACACCTGCACTTCCAGCTATGTTTTATTTTTGTATTTTGATACTGGATTACTAATTTTATATATTTCTAGATTAGATGAATTGTTGCCAAGGTGAGGCTTATACGTTGATCACACTGGAGAGATGTGATAGTGTAACTGTCTGTTGGTTTACACCAGTAAAAAATTTTGTTTTTGTCTTTTTTTCATTTGGTTACCAACATAAATAGCCTCAAGCCGATTTTTGATTTTAATCTTTGAAAGGCAACAGACCATTGTCAGTTTTCTTTTAGATTGCACGCTGCCAAACTTTGTATAGAGTTCAATGCCCATAGGTGATGGTAGCATTCAATCTACTTTTTTTCTCTCTCCATCTTCTTTGATTTTGTTGTTTTCTAATGCTTTTTATTGTATTTCACACTGTAAAGGGAATATAGGGAAAACAGATAATTGCATATATTTTACATTTCCTTGGGTCAAGGTTGGGTAAACAATAGAATGATAATGGTTATTCTTTGTTTGTTTTTGTTTTAATTTATACTCTCAAGGTGGGGTATAGCATATAGACAAATTAGACCAGTTTGTATATTTTATATTGTTTTTGAGTCAAGGTGGGGTGAGTGACAATATATGATTTTGCATTTTCTATTTGCTCTATTTGGTTTTCCACAAGGGGTTAAATATTTATGGTTTTAGTAAAGTTATAGTAAATTATTTCATACTGTTATGAGGACGTATCCCTTAGTACACATTAATATTGGTTGCATTTTGCTCACATTTGTGTTTACAATGTTTTAGATGACCACTTGTGAATCCAGATGGTAATACTGAGACAAGGATGATAATCAAACCACTAGTGATTTGCATAATGTAACACTGCGCACTTTCTGTGCTAAGAATCTTTTCATTTCCGGAAGCCAAGGGCCTATCGAAAACTTATTAAACATCCTCAAGGGCTCAAACACAAACCCACTCCACCTATACAAACGTGCACAAACACCTTCACTCAGATCCCCACTACAAACAATAAACTATGTCTCTCCCTTGTGTGGTCTCTTTAATACACTATGTAAGTGAACAGCAAATTAACTGCTGTTGGTGTGAAAATACACCAGGTGTCATGGTGGGCAGAGGTCAGAGGCCTAATAGCCCAAAGTAAGCAAGGCCAGGGTTAAAGGAACAGTGTGGTGGAAGCAGTGCTGGTGGCACAGGTAACTGAGCGTGATGGGAGTGAAATCTAATGGTTGCAGTGATGCTGAGCCTATGAGGGTAATGAAAGGTTGCGGATAGGGCTGAAGGAGTTCAAATTAATGGTGAAAAATGATAACTGTGAGTGCCTCAATGATTTGGCTAAATTATGCCTTGCAGTACCCTAAATTATAAGTATATGTGGTTGTCAAGTCATTTGTGTCTCAGTAAAACACAGAATCATTTAAAACACACACAATACAAATACTGTATTTTTTTGAGAGGGCTCATTTTCTTGTTGAGTCATTCGCCCTCTAGGTGGGGACTGTAAGAAATTGATATTCCAAACTGCAATATTGTATATAACTTTCTGTGTATGTGACTGGTTTCACAAGTTGGGGTCATTTACTTGATAAAAGTGTGATAAGGATCAAAGCTTTCAGTTGCATTTTACAACACCCAGCTAAAACAAAAGCTTACATCCCTCCAGTATTCCTTGCATGTTATCAGGAGATCAGAGTAACAGACATCTAGGTGTAACCATGGAAGTGTGTGTTTTCCCAAGCAGTCTAACCCACCCAGAAACCAACCCTAACTAGTCACTTCTTTCAGAACATTACAGTATAGCTGGAGGGAAGAGATCAAAGGGAAAGACTTGTGTAAAGACAGAACTCTCTGGAGAAAGAGGGCGGGATAAACCACTTTTGGGAGGGAAAAGGGATTCTGGGACTTGTAGTTTATTACTCCAAGAATCAGTCTTTAAAAGGACAACATCCAAGGAAGGCTCTCTTCTTTCTCTCTCTCTTTGGAGAGGACAACGCAGCAAGCAGGGCCATGGTGAACTAAGAGAGGCTGTCCCAGATTACCCAAGATGAAGGCGCAAGGGGAAGACCTGCATTTAAATGTTTAAGTATTGCCCTTTTATTATGTAGCTTTTGATTATGTACCGGATATAATGTATAATGTATATTGTGTATATCCTTTTAAAATCTAACAGTATCCTTAAATGAATATTTACAATACATTTTATTATACACTTGTGTTTATGTCTTATTTGTCACACATTCCCTAAAAGAATATCCTTGTAAGAGGGTCATAATTTCTTACACTACTCTGCCGAATGCAAGCTAAACCAACCAAAGAAAACACACATAGTACTTACCTGCAAGAAAGGGCAGAAGACTTGAGCAGCTGCCTGCAGGAACACTGAAACAAAAGGAATGATGGAAAACAAACGGGTGTGGAAAATAAAACAAACATTTAACCCCTTAAGGACACAGCTTCAGAAGCTTGTCTTACGCTTAATGACACAAGCAATTTTTGCATTTTCTTGCTGTATGCGTTCAACTGCAATTTGCATCTCTCTCGTTTATTGCACCGACACATATTATATACTGTTTTTTAAAGGACATAAAGGGCTTTAATTTGATGTAACATATATATATATAAATGCTTATTTATTATTTAAAAAATACAGAAAAATGCAAAAAAAAGAAAAATTTTGTGTTTTTTGTACAGTTTTTGCAATAATAATGTGTGCCTAATTAGTGCAGGTTAAAGAAAGTAATTAAAAATAAATTTATTTAGTTGTTCTGATTTACAAAATATATAATGTGTCTGGGATTTAAAGTTTTTTTTGGTAGTTACAGGTCATAAAGCACAAGGAGTAAAATAAACTTTTAATGTAGAGCGATTTTAGAATTTTGTATGTTTGTCTTGTAAGCTTAATAGCCATAAAAGAAAACAAAATTGCCACACAAAAGTATATATTTATATAAAGTAGACATCACAGGCTATTGTCCTAAGGTTTTTTTGACACTTTCTAAGTAGCCATTTCACCGCCAATCTCTGCTAAATATTGGAGTAAAATTTAGTTTTTTGGAGTTTTGGCACACAAACTTATAACAAAGAACTTCCCATGTATATTTTGTAAAGTTGGTGTGTGCTATTCCTGTACAAAGTTTTATTTTGTGTTCAGTTACTTCTGCTGAGTACAACGATACCCCCATTGTATGTCTTTGGCACTATTTCGTGAAGCTACAGTGCCATATAGGAGACCTGTCCGTTTCAACATTTACAGTAGAATTTTGAGAGGCGGATTTAATGGGCCTATGCTTCAATTTGGGGTATTATAGCAGTTTGACTGTTCAAAAAAACCCACAAAGGCCTACCATTTGTAAAAGTAGACACTCCAGGGTATCTCATATGGTGCATATTGTGCCTTAACATGCCCCCATTTTTTCACCAATATATGCCAAAGTATGTGGTAAAAAATAATTTTGGGCATTTTTTACATACGGATTACATTTTTGCTGGGCATTTTGTACATTTCATATGTGCCACTAAGTTCAAACCCCCCAAATTATGCTCAGCTAAGTCTTCTGAGTAAAACAATATGCCCAATGTATGACCTAGACACTATTTTGTGAAGTTACACTGCTATAAAAGAGACGTAACAAGTTAAGGTTTTTAAGTGTGAATTTTCATGGAGGGTTTTGATGCGTCCGTGCCCACTTTGGAGCACTTGAGCAGGCTACATATTACAACTACACCATAAAGGCATACCATTTCTTAAAGAACACATCCCAGGGTATTTCAAAAGGCATATTTTGAACCTTAGCGTGGGATAATTTTTCCGCTAGCTTGTACCAAGTGTAATGGTAATAAGCGTTTTTTTGCCTTTTTGACACACAAAGTAAATTTGCGCAGTACATTTTGCAAATCTTATGTGTGCTACTACTGTATAATACTTCATATGTTGCTCAGCTATGTCGGCTGAGTACATCAATACCCCCGTATGTACCTTTGCCAGGTATATGTGGACATCGGAGGGGCACATTTGGGACACAGCCATTCCAGTTCATTTCAAACTTTAAATTTTTACACTGTTCCCATGTCCCATTTTAGAGTATTTTAAAAGGCTATATAATCCAATTACACCATAAAGGCATACCATTTCTTAAAGAAGACATCCCGGGGTAATTCAAAAGGCATATTTTGAACCTTAGCGTGGGATAATTTTTCCACTAGCTTGTACCAAGTGTAGTGGTAATAAGCATTTTTTCTGCCTTTTTGACACACAAAGTGAGTTTGCGCAGTATATTTTGCAAACCTTATGTGTACTACGACTGTATACTACTTCATATGTTGCTCAGCTATGTCGGCTGAGTACATCAATACCCCCGTATGTACCTTTGCCAGGTTTATGTGGACATTGAAGGGGCACATTTGAGAAACAGCCATTCCATTTTTTTTAAACTTTGAATTTTTACGCTGTGTCCATGTCCCATTTTAGAGTATTTTAAAAGGCTATATAATCCAATTACACCATAAAGGCATACCATTTCTTAAAGAAGACATCCCGGGGTAATTCAAAAGGCCTATTTTGAACCTTAGCGTGGGATAATTTTTCCGCTAGCTTGTACCAAGTGTAGTGGTAATAAGCATTTTTTCTGCCTTTTTGACACACAAAGTGAGTTTGCGCAGTATATTTTGCAAACCTTATGTGTACTACGACTGTATACTACTTCATATGTTGTTCAGCTATGTCGCTGAGTACAGCAATACCCCTGTATGTACCTTTGCCAGGTATATGTGGACATTGAAGGGGCACATTTGAGACACAGCCATTCCAGTTTTTTCCAAACTTTGAATTTTTACGCTGTGTCCATGTCCCATTTTAGAGTATTTTACAAGGCTATATCATCCAATTACACCATAAAGGCATATCATTTCTTAAAGAAGACATCCCAGGGTAATTCAAAAGGCATATTTTGAACCTTAGCGTGGGATAATATTTCCGCTAGCTTGTACCAAGTGTAGTGGTAATGAGCATTTTTAAATGTATTTTTTTACTTTGTAAAACTTTTTTTACTTTGTAAAACCCATTTTTAAACTTTTTTTTTTACTTATTAAATGTTTTACACTATCTTAACTTTTTTTACACTTTTAATTTTTTTTCTAAACTTTTCTTTTACCGTTAACCCCTAACTAGCAGTAAGCAGCACTAACCGTAAATTCCCCATTTTCCCATAACTCCCACCCACCCCAGCTAGCAAAATATTTAATTATAAAATATTTAAATTAATTAATAAATGGAACCCCTGAGGGTTAAAAAAAATAAATAAAAGTTAATCCTCAGGGGTTAAAAAAATTAGATCACAGTATAATACTGTGATCTGTATTTTGATCACTGTAGGCAGTGATCAGCTGGCAGGGAAGGGGTTAATTTTTATTTAGACTGGGTAAAGGGGGTGGTATTTTTTTTTTTTTTACTTAAACGTTACTAAAACATTTAAAAATTTTTTTTTTTTTACCTTTTTAAAGCTTATTTTAAAACTTTTTTTAACGTTAACCCCTAGTTAGCCTAACACCAAATTCCCCAATTCCCCACTAACTTCCACCCATCCCAGCTAGCTAAATATATAATTTTTTAATATTTAAATTAATTAATAAAATAAATTTAACCCCTGAGGGTTAAAAAAAAAATAATTAACCCTCAGGGGTTAAAAAAAAAAATCAGATGACATTAAAATGTATACCCTGCCAATTGATCACTGTAGTCAGTGATCAATTGGCAGGAAAGGGGTTAATTTTATTAAAACAGGGGCAGGGGGGGTGGGATTTAACTTTAATTTTTTTTTTTTTTACACAGGGAAGCAGATCAGCACTGATCCGTCTCCCTGCACTTCACACAGAACCCGGAAGTGCAGGGAGGCGGAAGGTGAGTATGTGGAGCACATGTGCTCGCTCTGACATGCAGACAGAGCGAGCACCGGTGCTGGGGCAGCCCGATCGGGTGCTCCCGGTCTGCCTCTAATGCAGAGGCAGACCGGAGCACCGTTAACCCCGCGATTGCCGCGATCGCGGCGATCTGGGATTAACTTAAGAAAATGACGGAAATTTTCCGTCAACGGTCCTTAACTGAAGGACAAGGTTGACGGAAAATTTCCGTCCACGGTCGGGAAGGGGTTAAAT